CAGTCTCTTCGAGGCTACCTGGGGGACCTTTGCCTTGTGCTGTCTCCAGTGGTGAGTGGCCAACGCGATGTGGAGGTGGTGAGGGTGGTGATGGTGGTGGTGGTAGTGATGGTGGTGGAGATGGTGGTGGTGATGGTGGTGATGAGGGTGGTGATGAGGGTGGTGAAGGTGGTGGTGATGGTGGTGGAGGTGGTGAGGGTGGTGGTGGTGGTGGTGGTGATGGTGATGGTGGTGATAGTGGTGGTGATGGTGGAGGTGGTCATGATGGTGGTGGTGGTGATGAGGGGTGGTGATGGTGGTGGTGGATATGGTGATGGTGGTGGTGATGATGGTGGTGATGGTGATGGTGGTGATGGTGTAGGTGGTCATGATCGTGGTGATGGTGATGGTGGTGATGGTGGAGGGAGGTGCGCGCCGTCCCACCCCTAGGTCCACTCAGCCGTCACACAGCGCAGGAAGTGCGACTCAATAGACGGAGTAGATTAAGAACAGACGCTTCCTTCCGAAGGGATCGGGGGGAGGGAGAGAGATGGGGGGGGGGAGGAGTGTCTGAGTGAGTGTGGGCGGTTTGTGTGTTAGTGTGTGTGTGTTGGTGTGTGTGTGTTAGTGTGTGTGTGTGTTAGTGTGTGTGTTAGTGTGTGTGTTAGTGTGTGTGTGTTAGTGTGTGTGTGTTAGTGTGTGTGTGTGTGTTGGTGTGTGTGTTGGTGTGTGTGTGTTAGTGTGTGTTAGTGTGTGTGTTAGTGTGTGTGTGTTAGTGTGTGTTAGTGTGTGTTAGTGTGTGTGTGTTAGTGTGTGTGTGTTAGCGTGTGTTAGCGTGTGTTAGTGTGTGTGTGTTGGTGTGTGTGTGTTAGTGTTAGTGTGTGTGTTAGTGTGTGTGTTAGTTAGTGTGTGTGTGTGTGTTAGTTAGTGTGTGTCGGTGTGTGTGTCGGTGTGTGTGTTGGTGTGTGTGTTAGTGTGTTAGTGTGGTAGTGTGTGTTAGTGTGTGTTAGTGTGTGTGTGTTAGTGTGTGTGTGTTAGTGTGTGTTAGCGTGTGTTAGTGTGTGTGTGTTGGTGTGTGTGTGTTAGTGTTAGTGTGTGTGTTAGTGTGTGTGTTAGTTAGTGTGTGTGTGTGTGTTAGTTAGTGTGTGTCGGTGTGTGTGTCGGTGTGTGTGTTGGTGTGTGTGTTAGTGTGTTAGTGTGGTAGTGTGTGTTAGTGTGTGTGTGTTAGTGTGTTAGTGTGTGTGTGTCTTAGTGTGTGTGTGTGTTAGTGTGTGTGTTAGTGTGTGTGTTAGTGTGTGTGTGTGTTGGTGTGTGTGTGTTGGTGTGTGTTAGTGTGTGTGTGTTAGTGTGTGTGTGTTGGTGTGTGTGTTAAGTGTGTGTGTGTTAGTGTGTGTGTATGTTGGTGTAAGTGTGTGTGTTAGTGTAAGTGTGTGTGTTAGTGTGTGTTGGTGCGAGTGTGTGTGGGAGATGCGAGTGTGTGTTAGTGTGTGTGTGTTAGTGAGTGTGTGTGTGTTAGTGTTTGTCTGTTAGTGTGTGTGTGTTAGTGTGTGTGTTTGTGTGTGTGTTTGTGTGTTAGTGTGTGTGTTTGTGTGTGTGTTAGTGTGTGTGTGTTATTGCGAGTGTGTGTGGGAGATGCGAGTGTGTGTTAGTGAGTGTGAGAGTGAGTGTTTATGTGATTGCGGGAGAGATAGTGTGAGTCAAAGTGTGTGTGAGAGAGAGTGAGTGTGAGAGAAGAGTGAGTGTGAGAGAGAGTGAGTATGAGAGTGTGTGAGTGTGTGTGAGAATGTGAGTGTGTTTGTATGAGAGAGTGTGTATGTGAGTGTGTATGTGAGTGTGAGTGAGAGAGTGAGTGTGTGAGTGTGTGAGTGTATGAGAGTGAGTGTGTTTGTATGAGAGAGTGAGTGTGTTTTTATGAGAGAGTGTGTGTATGAGAGTGTGTATGAGTGTGAGTGAGTGAGTGTGTGAGTGTGAGAGTGAGTGTGTTTGTATGAGAGAGTGTGTATGAGAGTGAGTGTGTGTGAGAGTGTGTCTATGAGAGTGTGAGTGAGTGTGAGAGTGTGTGTATGAGAGTGTGTGTGTTTGTATGAGAGAGCGAGTGAGTGTGAGAGAGTGTGTGTATGAGAGTATGTGAGTGCGTGTGTATGAGAATGAGTGTGTTTGTATGAGAGAGTGTATGTATGAGAGTGTGTATGAGTGTGAGTGTGTGAGTTTGAGAGTGAGTGTGTGAGTGAGTGTTTGTATGAGAGTGAGTGAGTGTGTATGAGAGAGTGAGTGTGTGTGAGTGAGAGAGTGAGTGTGTGTGAGTGTGTGAGTGAGTGTGTGAGTATGAGAGTGAGTGAGTGAGTGTGAGAGAGTGAGAGTGAGTGTGTATGAGAGAGTGAGTGAGTGTGTGAGTGAGTGAGTGTGTGAGTGAGTGTGTGTATGAGAGTGTATGTGAGTGTGTGTATGAGAGTGATAGTGAGTGAGTGTGTGAGTGAGTGTGTGAGTGAGTGTGTGAGTATGAGAGTGAGTGTGTGTGAGTGTGAGAGAGTGAGTGTGTGTATGAGAGTGATAGTGAGTGAGTGTGATAGTGAGTGTGTGAGTGAGTGTGTGTGAGTGTGAGAGAGTGAGTGAGCGAGAGGTGTGGCAGGGTTGGCTGAGAGAGCCGACGGGCGAGTGAAGGAGAGAGGAGAGAGAATGAGAGGAAGGAGTGAGAGAGTTGAGGAAGGAAGGGAGAGAAAGAAAGGGTGCGTGGTGGTGAGTGATGGTCAGTGATGGTGGGTGATGGTGGGTGAGTGGTGAGTGGTGGTGGTGATCGGTGGTGAGTGTGCGGTGGTGAGTGAGTGGTGGTGAGTGAGTGGTGGTGATTGACGATGAGTGATGGTGAGTGGTGGTGAGTGAGCGGTGGTGTGCGGTGTTGAGTGGTGGTGATTGGTGGTGAGTGGTGAGTGAGCGGTGGTGAGTGAGCAAAATTGAGTGAGTGGTGAGTGAGTGAGTGAGTGGTGAGTGAGTGATGGTGAGTGATGGTGAGTGATTGATAGTGAGTGGTGAGTGAGTGGTGAGTGAGTGATTGAGTGGTGAGTGAGTGAGTGGTGAGTGAGTGAGTGAGTGGTGAGTGAGTGAGTGAGTGGTGATTGAGTGGTGATTGAGTGGTGACTGAGTGGTGAGTGAGTGGTGATTGAGTGGTGAGTGAGTTAGTGAGTGGTGATTGAGTGGTGAGTGAGTGAGTGGTGGTGAGTGAGTGGTGAGTGGTGAGTGACAATGTCACTCATCCTAAGAGAGGAAGCGGGGGGGGGGGGGGTACACCCCCCACCGCCTTCCCAGAATACCATGCAATCGATCGCCTCCGACCGCACTGCATGATGGGAAACCACCTGTCGGTGCACCTAGCCTGGCACGGGCGCCGTGGTGACGTAACACGCACTTGCCCCTGACAGTGCGTTGATGCTATACGGGGAACATTTGTCCTCGCGTGCAGGTCGGTCGGTGTGTGTGTGTAGGTACGTCATGTGTGTGTGTGTAGGGCTGTGTAGATGTGTCTGTGTGTGTGGGTTGGTCTGTGTGTAGATGTGTGTGTGGGTACATCTGTGTGTGTGTGGGTACGTCTGTGTGTTGTTGTTGTGTAGATGTGTCTGTGTGTGTGTGTGGATGTGTGTGTGTGTGTGTGGGTAGGTCTGTGTGTAGATGTGTGTGTGTTTAACAGCAGAGGTCTCACTCCGAATCAGTCGAGCGGCAATATCTTTTCATCGGTTGAGTAACGCTGTGTGGAAGCTACCTGGTTTGTCGCTCCGCACGAAGCTTCGGGTCTTCTCGGCCACAGTCATTCCCTCCCTTCTCTACGCTTGCGAAACGTAGACCCCCCTAATGGAGCATCTTCGCCGGTTGGAAACATTTAGGCTGGCCTGCCTACGATCCATCCTGGGTTTAACCAGGCTGGATTGTGTGAGGAGCTCACAAATCCTTGAAAGTTCTGGGCAGGGTCCCATCGGTGAGCTCCTCCGGCAGGCAAGGCTGCGTTGGCTGGGTCATGTAGCCCGCATGCCCAGCCACCGCATGCCTAAACAGCTTTAGTTCTGCCGGATCGAGAGGGCTTAATGGGTGAGGCACGGGCTAGAGAAGAGATGGAGTGATGTGGTACAGGAGGACGTGGAGCTGAGTGGACTTGCCGATGACTGGTACCAGCGGTGTCAGGATCGGCCTCTGTAGAGGAGGCTCGTGAAGGATGCTACTGGGCAGTTGGAGGAAGTTGCCCTCCAACAACAACGGAGGGCGGAGGAGCAACGCTCACAACAACGAGCGGAGCGCTGGTTGGCTAAAGCACAGCAAGTTGACACAGTAGGGGGCACACGTGGTGCATCAGCCAGTCATCTTGGTCAGTCTACCCGTGGCATCTGCTGGGTCTGCCCCGTGACCTCCTGCCAGCGGGCGTTCGACACTTCACGTGGCCTCAAGGTGCACTTGGCCTGGCACAAGCATCGTGGTGACGTCACCGCCACTTAGTGGTGAATGGCGGTTGTTGTTGTTGTGTGTGTATGTCTGTGTGTGTAGGTCTGTGTGTGTAGGTCTGTGTGTGTGTACAGGCTGTGTGTGTGTGTAGGTCTGTGTGTGTGTGTAGGTCTGTGTGTGTGTGTAGGCGGTGATTATGCGAGAGCGAATTGGAGTGGGATGAAGGGATAGGAAAGAGCTCCATTGATGAATAAAGAGGAAGTGAGAGAGAGGGGAGCAGGGAGATGGTGAGTGGTGAGGGGGGAGATGGTGAGGGGGGAGGTTGATGATGTTGTAGTGGTGGTGGTGATGTTGATGATGTAGTGATGATGGTGATGTAGTGATGTTGATGATGTTGCAGTGGTGATGTTGATGATGTAGTGGTGATGATGTAGTGGTGATGTTCTAGTGGTGATGATGTTGTAGTGATGTTGATGATGATGTAGTGGTGATGATGTTGATGATGTTGTAGTGATGTTGATGATGTTGTAGTGGTGATGTTGATGTTGTAGTGGTGATGATGTAGTGATGTTGTAGTGATGTTGATGATGTTGCAGTGATGTCGGTGCCGGCTCTGGACGTGGTGATGGTGGAGGTCTCCGTTGACTCTCCACTTGGGGAAGCCGGTGAGGGAGATGATGCCAGCGCAGAGGATAGCGGTGGAGATGTGAGTCACTCACTCACCCACACACCCTCACACACACTCACTCACACTCACTTACTCACTCACACTCACTCACACTCTCACACTCACTCACTCACACTCACTCACACAGACTCACAGACTCACCCTCACACTCACTCACCCTCACTCACTCACTCACACACTCACACACCCTCACACTCACACAGAGGATAGCGGTGGAGATGTGAGTCACTCACTCACACTCACTCACTCACTCACACAGTCACCCTCACTCACTCACACATACACACTCACAATCACTCACACTCACTCACTCACACTAACTCACCCACACTCACTCACACTCACTCACCCACACTCACACTCACTCACTCACACTCACTCACACACTCACACTTACACAGTCAGACACACACACTCACTCACTCAGACTCACTCACTCACACAGACTCACAGACTCACTCTCACTTACACTCACTCACCCTCACACTCACTCTCACTTACTCACACAGATTCACAGACTCACACACTCACTCACACTCACTCACACTCACTCTCACTCACACAGACTCACAGACTCACTCTCACTCACACTCATTCACCCTCACACTCACTCTCACTTACTCACACAGATTCACAGACTCACACACTCACTCACACTCACCCTCACACTCACTCACTCACACAGTCAGACACACTCACTCATTCAGACTCACTCACTCACACAGACTCACAGACTCACACTCACTCACACACCCTCACACTCACACAGAGGATAGCGGTGGAGATGTGAGTCACTCACTCACACTCACCCTCACACTCACCCTCACTCACTCACATTCACTCACTCACCCTCACACAGACTCACAGACTCACTCTCACTTACACTCACTCACACAGATTCACTCACCCTCACCCTCACTCACACTCACTCACACTCACTCAGGCTCACTCACCCTCACTCACTCACTCACACACCCTCACACTCACACAGAGGATAGCGGTGGAGATGTGAGTCACTCACTCACACTCACCCTCACACTCACCCAGTCAGACACACTCACTCTCACACTCACTAGCTCACTCTCAGACTCACTCACACTCACTCACACACACTCACTCACTCACACACCCTCACACTCACTCACCCTCACTCACTCACCCTCACACTCACTCACACAGACTCACAGACTCACCCTCACACTCACTCACCCTCACTCACTCACTCACACACTCACACACCCTCACACTCACACAGAGGATAGCGGTGGAGATGTGAGTCACTCACTCACACTCACTCACACTCACACTCACCCTCACACTCACTCACACTCACTCACACACACTCACTCACCCTTACTCACCCTCACTCACTCACACTCACTCACTCACCCTCACTCACTCACACTCACTCACCCTCACTCACACTCACTCACTCACAGACTCACTCTCACTCACACTCACTCACTCACACTCACTCACACTCACGGGACAAACCCAGCAGGTGCCATGGGTTGACTGCTATGCCAGGCTTGGTGCAGGAGGAGGTCACGGGACAGACTCTGCAGGTGCCATGGGTTGACTGGTGTGCCAGGCTAGGTGCAGGAGGAGGTCACGGGACAGACACTACAGGTGCCATGGGTTGACTGCTGTGCCAGGCTAGGTGCAGGAGGAGGTCACGGGACAGACTCTGCAGGTGCCATGGGTTGACTGCTGTGCCAGGCTAGGTGCAGGAGGAGGTCACGGGACAGACTCTGCAGGTGCCATGGCTTGACAGGCTGAGATGATTGCCAGATGCCCCAGCTGTATCCCCACTGCTGTGCCAGTTCGCTGCAGTTTTATCCGCCCGCCGCTCCGCTCGTTGTTGTGAGCGTCGCTCCTCCGCCCTCCGTTGTTGTTGGAGGGCGACTGCTTCCAACTGCCCAGTAGCGTCCTTCACGAGCCTCCTCCACTGAGGCCGATCTTGACACCGCTGGTACCAGTCATCGGCAAGTCCACTCAGCTCCACGTCCTCCTGTACCACGTCACTCCATTTCTTCTCTAGCCCGTGCCGCGCCCGTTTAGCCCCCTCGATCCGGCCGAACAAAAGCTGTTTAGGCATGCGGTGGCTGGGCATGCGGGCTACATGACCCAGCCAACGCAGCCTTGCCTGCCGGAGGAGCTCACCGATGGGACTTTGTCCAGATCTTTCAAGGATTTGTGAGCTCCTCACACAATCCAGCCTGGTTAAACCCAGGATGGATCGTAGGCAGGCCAGCCTAAATACTTCTAACCGGCAAAGATGCTCCATTAGGGGCGTCCACATTTCGCAAGCATAGAGAAGGGAGGGAATGACTGTGGCCGAGAAGACCTGAAGCTTCGTGCGGAGTGAGAGACCAGGTAGCTTCCACACAGCGTTACGCGACCGACGAAAAGATATTGCCGCTCGACTGATTCGGAGTGAGACCTCTGCTGTTAAACCGGAGCCGGTCACACTGCCCAGGTATGAGAAACTCTCCACTCTCTCTACAACTGCCCCATCACCGATTGGGAGTTGTGGGGGTGGAGTGTCCTATGGTACAAAATACCCAGGCAGGTGCTTAGTTTTAGTGGGGCTGATGGTAAGGCCCCACCTTTTAGTGGCACGCTCCAGGTTCAGCAGCAGCGCCTCCAACTCCTCCTCTGAGTGAGCAGCAATTACCAGATCATCGGCATACATAACGTGGTTGACCAATAGGGAGCCATCCCTTGACCGCACCCGGGCATCGATCAGCCTCCCATTGTATCTGTACCAGATGGAAATTCCTCCGGTACAGCTGTTGAAGGCTTCACGAACTACGTGGTCAAAATAGATGTTAAATAAGGTGGGAGCCAGAGGACATCCCTGTCACACCCCTAGGTGTACAGGGAAAGGCTCTGACTCCCAGCTACGTAGTTTTACCCGAGCCCGCTCACCATCATGAAGGTCCTTAACAATCGTGAGCAGAGGGTCAGGGACTCTGAAAGCATGAAGAGCAACCCAGAGCCCAGGCCTACTGATGGTATCATAGGCCTTGACCAGGTCAATAAAGCAGAGATGTAGGTCTTGTTGGAATTCCTTACACCTCTGCTGTAGCAGACGGACAGCCCTTTCCTGAAACCGCATTAGGGTTCCGCAAGCCTCTCCTCAGCGTGCCTGGCAAGGCACACACACACAGTGTAACACACACACAGTGTAACACACACACAGTGTAACACACACACACAGTGTGTAACACACACACACAGTGTGTAACACACTCACACAGTGTGTAACACACACACAGTGTGTAACACACACACAGTGTGTAACACACAAACAGTGTGTAACACACACAGTGTGTAACACACACACAGTGTGTAACACACACACAGTGTGTAACACACACACAGTGTGTGTAACACACACACAGTGTGTAACACACACACAGTGTGTAACACACACACAGTGTGTAACACACACACAGTGTGTGTAACACACACACAGTGTGTAACACACACACAGTGTGTAACACACACACAGTGTGTAACACACACACAGTGTAACACACACACAGTGTGTAACACTCACACAGTGTGTAACACACACACAGTGTGTAACACTCACACAGTGTAACACACACACAGTGTAACACACACACAGTGTAACACACACACAGTGTGTAACACTCACACAGTGTGTAACACACACACAGTGTGTAACACTCACACAGTGTGTAACACACACACAGTGTGTAACACTCACACAGTGTGTAACACACACACAGGGTGTAACACTCACACAGTGTGTAACACTCACACAGTGTGTAACACACACACAGTGTAACACACACACAGTGTGTAACACTCACACACACAGTGTGTGTGTAACACACACACAGTGTGTAACACACACACACACAGTGTGTAACACACACACACACAGTGTGTAACACACACACAGTGTGTAACGCACACACAGTGTGTAACACACACACAGTGTGTAACACACACACAGTGTGTAACACACACACTGTAACACACACACAGTGTGTAACACACACAGTGTGTAACACACACACACAGTGTAACACACACACACAGTGTAACACACACACAGTGTAACACACAGTGTGTAACACTCACACAGTGTGTAACACACACACACACTGTGTAACACACACACACACACAGTGTGTAACACACACACAGTGTGTAACACACACACAGTGTGTAACACACACACACTGTAACACACACACAGTGTGTAACACACACAGTGTGTAACACACACACACACAGTGTAACACACACACACAGTGTAACACACAGTGTGTAACACACACACTGTGTAGCACACACACTCACAGTGTGTAACACACTCTGTGTGTGTGTGTGCTACACTGTGTGTGTGTTACACACTCTGTGGGTGACACGGCGCCTTTGTCTCGTTTATTTATTTATTTACTTGCCCTTTACATGTGCGGGCCCGAACAAAGCACAAAGAACACCCCCCCCACCACATCCCCCCACTCCCCCCCACTCTCCCCACTCTCCCTTCCGTCTCCCTCCCCTCTCTCCCCGCATTCTCTTTGTCCCACCCCCTCCCCTCTGCACCCCCCATTCTCTTTGTCTCTCCCCCCCACCACTCCCCCCCCCTCACTCTGCACTCTCCCCCCCCTCTCCCTCCCCCTCTCACCCCCCCCTCTCACCCCCCCTCTCCCTCCCACACTCTTTGTTACCCCCCCCCCACACTCCCCCCCCCACCCACCCACTCTCCCTCCCATCTCTGTTGTCTCTACGTGAATCTCTCCCCCCTCCCCTTCTCCCTCCCCTTCTCTCCCCCCCCCCCCCTCTCCCTCCCCTCTGTTCCCACTCCCCCACTGTCTTTGTGTCTCTCTCACCACTCCCTGTCTCCGTTGTCTCTTTGTGAATCTCCCCCCTCTCTCTCTGCCCCCCCACTCTCCCCCCCCCCCAACCACTCTTCTCCCCCCCACTCTCCCCCCACTCTCCCCACACTCCCCCCACTGTCTTTGTCTCTCCCTCCCTCCTCTCCCTCGGCACTCCCGATCGCTGTTGTCTCTTTGTGCATCTGCCTCTCCCCCACTGCCCACTCACTCTCTCTCCTCATTCTCCTCATTCTCCATTGTCTCTACAATCCTGTGTGTCTCTCTCTCACATTGTCTCTACAATCCTGTGTCTGTCTCTGTCTCATTGTCCGTCTCTCTCTCTCTGCCTCTGTGTGTCTCTGTGTCTGTCTCTCTGTGTCTCTGTGTCTCTTTGTGTCTCTGTGTCTTTCTGTGTCTCTCTGTGTCTGTCTCTACAATCCTGTGTCTCTCTCTCTGCCTCTCTGTGTCTCTGTGTCTGTCTCTCTGTGTCTCTCTGTGTCTCTGTGTCTCTCTGTGTCTGTCTCTCTGTGTCTCTCTGCCTCTCTGTGTCTCTGTGTCTGTCTCTCTGTGTCTCTCTGTGTCTCTGTGTCTCTCTGTGTCTCTCTGTGTCTCTCTGTGTCTGTCTCTGTCTCTCTGTGTCTCTGTGTCTGTGTCTCTCTGTGTGTCTCACTCTGTCTCACATTGTCCATCTCTCTCTGTCTGTCTCTGTCTGTCTCTGTGTCTTTGTCTCTGTGTCTCTTTCTGTCCCATTGTCTGCGTGTCTCTGTCTGTCTCTGTCTCTCTGTGTCTCTGTCTCTCTCCCTCCCTCCCCCCTCCCATCTCCCTCCCCCCTCCCCCCTCATCTCCCTCCCATCTCCCCCTCCCCCCTCTCATCTCCCTCCCCCCTCATCTCCCTCCCCCCTCCCTCCCCCCTCTCATCTCCCTCCCCCTCATCTCCCTCCCATCTCCCTCCCCCCTCCCCCCTCATCTCCCTCCCATCTCCCCCTCCCATCTCCCTTCCCCCTCATCTCCCTCCCTCCCCCCTCCCATCTCCCTCCCATCTCCCTCTCATCTCCCTCCCCCCTCCCTCCCCCCTCCCCCTCATCTCCCTCCCCCTCCCTCCCCCTCCCCCTCATCTCCCTACCCCCTCCCTCTCATCTCCCTCCCCCCTCCCTCCCCCCTCCCCCTCATCTCCCTCCCCCCTCCCCCTCATCTCCCTCCCTCTCATCTCCCTCCCCCCTCCCTCTAATCTCCCTCCCCCTCCTCATCTCCCTCCCTCTCATCTCCCTCCCCCCTCCCTCCCCCCTCCCCCTCATCTCCCTCCCCCTCATCTCCCTCCCCCTCATCTCCCTCTCATCTCCCTCCCCCCTCCCCCTCATCTCCCTCTCCCCTCATCTCCCTCTGATCTCACCTCCCTCCTCCCATCTCCCCCTCATCTCCCTCCCATCTCCCTCTCCCTTCATCTCCCTCTCATCTCCCTCCCCCCTCCCCCTCATCTCCCTCCCCCTCCCCCTCATCTCCCTCCCCCCTCCCTCTCATCTCCCTCCCCCCTCCATCTCATCTCCCTCCCCCTCATCTCCCTCCCCCCTCCCCCTCATCTCCCTCCCCCCTCCCTCCCATCTCCCTCCCCCTCATCTCCCTCCCCCCTCCCTCTCATCTCCCTCCCCCCTCCCTCCCATCTCCCTCCCCCTCATCTCCCTCCCCCCTCCCCCTCATCTCCCTCCCCCCTCCCTCCCATCTCCCCCCTCATCTCCCTCCCCCCTCCCTCTCATCTCCCTCCCATCTCCCTCCCCCCTCCCTCCCCCCTCCCCCTCATCTCCCTCCCCCCTCCCTCCCATCTCCCTCCCTCCTCCCTCCCATCTCCCTCCCCCCTCCCTCCCATCTCCCTCCCTCCCATCTCCCTCCCCCCTCCCCCTCATCTCCCTCCCCCCTCCCTCCCATCCCCCTCTCATCTCCCTCCCCCCCATCTCCCTCCCTCCCCCCTCCCCCTCTTCTCTCTCCGTGTTTCCGGGTTCGTCGCGCAGCAGCGCACCAACCACTGCACCACCACTCCAATTTCAGACACAGGCAAAGGTCCTCCGTGTAGCCTCTATCGGGCTCTAGGGCCAAGTGCTGTTAGCGAGCAGCAGCACCCATGAGTGGGTGGGTGGATGCGTGGGTGAGTGGTTGGGTGGGTGAGTGAGTGGGTGAGTGAGTGGGTGAGCGGGTGAGTGAGTGGGTGGATGAGTAAGTGAGTGGGTGTGTGGATGAGTGAGGGTAAGTGGGTGGGTGGGCGGGTGGGTGGATGAGTGAGTGGTTGGATGAGTGAGTGGGCGGGTGGGTGAGTGAGTGGGCGGGTGGGTGGAGTGAGTGGGCGGGTGGATGCGTGGGTGGGTGAGTGGGTGGGTGAGGTGAGTGGGTGAGTGGGTGAGTGGGTGAGTGTATGGGTGGGTGGGTGAGTGTGTGGATGGGTGAGTGGATGGGTGGGTGGATGAGTGAGTGGGTGAGTGGATGGGTGGGTCGGTGAGTGAGTGGGTGAGTGGGTGAGTGTATGGATGGGTGAGTGGATGGATGGGTGAGTGGATGGTGGTGGATGAGTGGTGGGTGAGTGGATGGGTGGGTGGATTAGTGATTGGGTGAGTGTATGGGTGGGTGGATGAGTGTGTGGATGGGTGAGTGGTTGGGTGGGTGGATGAGTGGGTGGGTGGGTGAGTGTGTGGATGGGTGGGTGAGTGGGTGTGCGAGTGGGTGAGTGGGTAGATGAGTGGGTGGGCGAGTGGGTAGGTGGGTGAGTGGATGAGTGAGTGGGTGGGTCAGTGGGTGAGTGAGTGGGTGGATGAGTGGATTGGTGGGTGTGTGAGTGAGTGGATGAGTGGGTGGATGATTTGGTAGGTGGGTCAGTGGTTGGCACCTATGAAGGCTACCGGCACTGTGGCACAGAGGGGGTGGGTGGCCAGTACCACGCCCTCCCGGCCGTCTTTGTCTCCCCAGTGGCGATGATCACCACTACACACTGCACTCGATTCTGTTCCCGGCGTTCCGTTGTTCCGTTCCGACCCCAGCGTTGTTGTTGTTCCGTTGTTCCGTTCCGACCCCGGCGTTGTTGTTGTTCCGTTGTTCCGTTCCGACCCCAGCGTTGTTGTTGTTCCGTTGTTCCGTTCCGACCCCGGCGTTGTTGTTGTTCCGTTCCGACCCCAGCGTTGTTGTTGTTCCGTTGTTCCGTTCTGACCCCGGCGTTGTTGTTGTTCCGTTGTTCCGTTCCGACCCCGGCGTTGTTGTTGTTCCGTTGTTCCGTTCCGACCCCGGCGTTGTTGTTGTTCCGTTGTTCCGCAGTCGAGGGACGACGCCGACCCCGACTCGAAGGATCGTCTGCGTGCCTCCCTCCTCCCTCCTCACCACCACGGCGGTCACCGCGGCGACCGCGGTGGTGACCACCACCACACCGGTGACTCCGGCAGCGGAGACATCAACGAGGGGGAGGAGGAGGATGTGGGGGAGGAGGAGGGAGCCAGCCACGACCCGGCGTCGAACCCTCGCGACGCGCAACACAGAGCCCTGAGCACGTGCGGCGGTGGTGGTGGTGGCGGTGGTGGCGGTGGTGGCGGTGGTGGCGGTGGTGGCGGTGGTGGCGGTGGTGGTGGTGGTGGCGGTGGTGGCGGTGGTGGCGGTGGACCGGGCATCAAAACAGAGCACCACGACCACGACTCCGGTGAGCCACGCGGAGATTAAAGGGTGGGGGTGGTGGGTGGTGGGTGGGTGAGCGGGTGGGTCAGTGAGTGGGTAGGTGGGTATGTCGGTGGGTGAGTGGGCGGGCGAGCGGGTGGGTGGGTGAGTGAGTGGGTGGGCGAGCGAGCGAGCGGGTGGGTGGGTCATTGAGTGGGTGGGTGAGTGAGTGGGTGAGTGAGTGAGTGGGTGGGTGGGTGGGTTGGTGGGTGGGTGGGTGGGCGGGTGGGTGGGTGGGCGGGCGGGCGGGCGGGCGGGCGGGTGGGCGGGTGGGCGGGTGGCCGAGTGAGCGGGCGGGTGGGCGAGCGAACGGGCGGGTGGACGAGCGAGCGGGTGGGCGGGTGGGTGAGCGAGCGGGGAGGTGAGTGGGTGAGTGAGTGGGTGGGTGGGTGGGTGAGTGGGTGGGCGGGTGAGTGGGTGGGCGGGTGAGCGGGTGGGTCAGTGAGCGGGTGGATGAGTGGGTGGGTGGGTGTGCGAGTGGGTCAGTGAGTGGGCGAGTGGGTGGGTGTGGTCTTGGTTGGGCGAGGCTGCGCAATCTTGAGAGCACAATGGCTCATTATCCAACTGGCGCCTGTTGTGTTGGTAGCAAAGACAAATACAAAGGTCCCCTGTGTAGTCTCTAACATATTAGGACAAGTGCTAACAGGGTGGTGGGTGGCCAGCATCACGCCTGGCCGTCTTTGTCTCCCCAGTGGCGATGTTTACTACACTCCACTGCACCAGGTACTCATTTAAGTCTGAGACGACCTAGGGGAGGCCCAGGACCGGTTCAGATAATCGCTATCGCCGGGTTCGGAGCGCAGCGTGGCGCTAACCGCTGCCCTGCCGTTAACCATGCTCACACACGCACCCACTCACTCACACACCCACAACAACAACCGCCATTCGCCACCAAGTGGCGGTGACATCACCACGGCACTTGTGCCAGGCCAAGTGCACCTTGAGGCTACCACGTGAAGTGTCGAACGCTGGCAGGAGGTCATGGGGCAGACCCAGCAGGTGCCACGGGTCGACTGACCGAGATGACCGAGACGACTGGCTGTTGTACCACCTGTGCCCCCTACTGTGCCAACTTGCCGGGCTTTAGCCACCCGGCGCTCCGCTCGTTGTTGTGAGCGTCGCTCCTTCGCCCTCCGTTGTTATTGGAGGGCGACTGCCTCCAACTGCCCAGTAGCGTCCTTCACGAGCCTCCTCCACAGAGGCCGATCCTGACACCGCTGGTACCGGTCATCGGCAAGTCCACTCACCTCCACGTCCTCTTGTACCACATCACTCCATCTCTTCTCTAGCCCGTGCCGCACCCGTTTAGCCCCCTCTATCCGGCCGAACAGAAGCTGTTTAGGCATGCGGTGGCTGGGCATGCGGGCTACATGACCCAGCCAACGCAGACTTGCCTGCCGGAGGAGCTCACCGATGGGACTGTCTAGATCTTTCAAGGATTTGTGAGCTCCTCACACAATCCATCCTGCAGGTTAAACCTAGGATGGATCGTAGGCAGGCCAGCCTAAATGTTTCCTAACCGGCGAAGATGCTCCATTAGGGGGGTCCACGTTTCGCAAGCGTAGAGAAGGGAGGGAATGACCGTGGCCGAGAAGACCTGAAGCTTCGTGCGGAGCGACAGACCAGGTAGCTTCCGCACAGCGTTACGCAACCGATGAAAAGATATTGCCGCTCGACTGATTTGGAGTGAGACCTCTGCTGTTAAACCGGAGCTGGTCATGCGCACACTGCCCAAGTATGGGAAAAACTGCCCCATCACCGATTGGGAGTTGTGGGGGTGGAGTGTCCGGTGTTGCTTAGTTTTGGTGGGGCTGATGGTAAGGCCCCACCTCTTAGTGGCACGCTCCAGTTTCAGCAGCAGCAGCAGCAACTCCTCTGACTGAGCAGCAATTACCAAATCATCGGCATACTATAACGTGGTTGACCAATATGGAGCCATCCCTTGACCGCACCTGGGCATCGATCAGCCTCCCATTATATCTGTACCAAATGGAAATTCCCCCGGTACAGCTATTGAAGGCTTCACAAACTACGTGGTCGAAATAGATGTTAAATTATGTGGGAACCAGAGGACATCCCTGTCGCACCCCAAGGTGTACAGGGAATGGCTCTGACTCCCGGCCACGTAGTTTTACCCGGGCCCGCTCACCATCATGAAGGTCTATTCATGATGGTGAGCAGAGGGTCAGCAACTCCGAAAGCACGAAGAACAACCCAGAGCCCAGGCCTACTGATGGTATCATAGGCCTTGACCAGGTCAATAAACCAGAGATGTAGGTCTTGTTGGAATTCCCTGCACCTCTGCTTGTAGCAGACGGACAGAAAATATGGCATCTGTGCAGGACTGCCCTTCCTGAAACCGCATTGGGGCTCCGCAAGCATCTCCTCAGCGTGCCTAGCAAGGCAATGTTGAATAATCCTTGCCAGGACCTTTCCCGGCACACTGAGGAGTGAGATGCCCCTGTAGTTGTTACAGTCTGTGCGGTCCCCCTTCTTAAAGAGGGGGACCACCAGGGCATCCTTCCAGTCCTGCGGAACCCGTCCAGTGGTCCAGACTGTTATGATGTCATGTAGGGCAGTCTGTGCACAAACGCCACCCTCCCTCAGCATTTCGCTTGGGAGATCATCTCTGCCCGGTACCTTTCCTGGTATCAGACTTTGGATCACCCTCAGTACTTCCTCAACAGATGGCACCTCAGCCAGCCACTCACGGGGGGTGACTTCTTCCAATATTTGAGGCACTGCAGCCTCAGCAGGCCATCCCCATTTTTTACCACGTTGTTATCCAAGCTGAGGGATGTCCCCTCCTGCAAGACCTCTCAGAAATGCTCAGCAAATCTGCAAACCTGTTCCTGGGGGTCGGAGATTGGATCACCGTTCCTTCACCATATTATGGTAATAGGTGTGGCGCTGCAGATACTTTTTTGATGAAATTAAAGAGCGATTTGTGATCGTGGGCCACTGAGGCAGACTCCATCTCCTCAGCAACCCGCGACCACCACCCATTCTTGCAGCGCCTCACGGCTCTCCGAACCTCCGAGCGAAGGCTGCGGTAAGCCTTCTCATTCTCCGACGTGGGATGCTGTAGCCGACGTGGGATGCTGTAGCCGATGAGAGTGGGGCTGTCACTTTTTCAGCTGGCTTGAACACCTCCTCTGTCAGCCAGGGTCCCTAGAGAGGTCTGGACCGCGTACCCAAAGTAGCCATTGCAGCTGCATGAGCCACAGTCCTAAATTTTGCCCATTTCCCCTCGACATCAGGAGGAGTGGGGGACGATTACAACCCCAGCCGCAAGCGATGATAACATTCTCGCTTGCAACTTTCATCAGCGAGCTGAGACCAGGCCACTAAGAGTTTGAATGGGGTCCTGGGTGTACACCCACCACCGGAGTGGAAAAATGGCAGGCGCATCTTACGGATGACAAGTCGATGGTCAGTGGGCAGATCAGCTCCATGGTAAGTCCTGGTGTCAAGGACATGGGCCCGCATCCGCTGGTCCATCACTATGTAGTTCAGCAGATGTTCTTGCTTGGACCCGGCATGCATCCATGATGTTGTGTGGATGTGCCGATGCTGGAACAGCGTGTTGGTAATTGCAAGCCCTTGGGCTGCACAAAAATCTAGCAGCCTCCTGCCATTGTTATTGAGCTGATCTGGCCCATGCCTTCCAATCACTCCAGACCAGGTGCCAGCATCATCACCAACTCGGGCATTGAAGTCACCCAACAAGATGACTGTCCCAAGGGGCCACTTTAGCCAGCACCTCTGACAGGAGGTCATAGAAGGCATCTGACTCTACGGTCTTGCCTGCATCCCTCCATGGATGTTCATCTTCAGTGGGGGCATAAGTAAGCTGTAAGCCTGGGGCTTACAGCTTCCCACACCTCACCGCCACGCTCCCACGCCCCCTTCATTCTTGTGTTCAGAAGAAGAGCCACTCCCTGTTGTTTGGCAGTCTCCTGCCCTGAGTAGAGGACTGTCCACCCCTCATGGTGGCAGGTGCCAGAGCCGGTCCACCGGACCTCCTGAATGCCACAGAGATCCAGGCGGTACCAGTCCAGCTCCCTACCGAGGAGTGGCAGCCTCTCCTCCGCAGTGAGCGTTCGAACATTCCACGTGGCCACACGTAGTGGCTTTTTGTTGTTTCTGGAGGAGCCCCGAGGGTAAAGATTCAGTCACCTGGCTCCACCAAATGGGGTTTGGCCAGGAGACGTCATAGACGCCTGTCTCCCCGGGGCCTCCGGCACAAGATTATTAATTTCATTTACTCGTCTTGGTTTAACGGTAAGTTAATTGAAGGTGGAGGGGTTACCAGCCCCTTGCACCCGTCCAGAGCCCCCATTTAGCCGCTGTGGTGGTCACAAGCGCTATGAGGGGAAAGGCCAATCTGAATTGGCCTTCCCCCCACAGCAATGACCACGACAGCGTTGCCCGTCCAGCACCACGAGGAGGTAGGGGGTTGTTTTGCCAGACCCAGTCACAACAACAACCGCCATTCGCCACTAATTGGCGGTGACGTGACCACGACACCTGTGCCAGGCCATGTTTACCTTGTGGCCACGTGAAGTGTCGAACGCACGCTGGCAGGAGGTCACGGGGCAGACCCAGGTGCCACGGGTCGACTGAGTGAGATGAACGAGATGACTGACTGATGCACCACCTGTACCCCCTACTGTGCCAACTTGCTGCGCTTTAGCCACCCGGCGCTCCGCTCGTTGTTGTGAGCGTCGCTCCTCCGCCCTCCATTGTTGCTGGAGGGCGACTGCCTCCAACTGCCCAGTAGCAGCGTCCTTCACGAGCCTCCTCCACAGAGGCCGATCTTGACACCGCTGATACCAGTCATCGGCAAGTCCACTCAGCTCCACGCCCTCCTGTACCACATCACTCCATCTCTTCTCTAGCCCGTGCCGCGCCCGTTTAGCCCCCTCGATCTGGCCGAACAAAAGCTGTTTAGGCATGCGGTGGCTGGGCATGCGGGCTCCATGA